GAATGAGATGTTGTAGTGTTAAATTTATAAAGTTGTATGAGTACTCATCTGTTTAAAGCATAATCTCTTCCAACAAAAGGTAGTTTTAATCTCTTCCAACAAAAGGTAGTTTAAAGGGAATTTTATTGTAATAAACAACATCTACCAGAAATTGCAATAGCTAGTTTTGTATCATCAAAGTTTCAGGAAGTGCAGTTTTGGTAGATTTGTCGATAGATACGTAAAAACCACCATGCAATATATGGTATCTGACATTTCAATATGTGCAAGCTTAGTTGACTTTTAAAGATGCTGGACCTAGTTGTTACTCCAAAGACACTGAGTTGAGTTTTTCTCTTAATAACAAAGTGTCAAGTTTAGTAAACAGCATCAGACATTGTATAGACAGATGTCTGGCGCCAGCACATTTATGGGGGATTTCACAAATTTCGGTTCAAACTAGCTGCACATTTTATAAAACCTTGCAACGTTTACGGGTCATCCCCACCAAAGCTCTGTCATTTTTAACAAATTTTATTCGTAGCTAGTAGAGCTGCATAAAGTAGGCCCTTTGAGTGGTCTGCTCCTAAGGAGTTGGTAATTCCTGGCAGACCAGAACAACTAGGAGCCGCTAGATGTTCTGTTCTGAAGGCATGAATCTTTTTAGCGCCATTGAGTCAAACTCCTTTAAATCGCGTTTAAGAAAATGGCGATTAGAAAAAGCAATTTTGATATTTTGCAACAGTGCAGTTAGATATTCATAACTTAAAGTTAGGCTCATAGAATAAGTTCACTAAGAATTACACCGGTGAGGGCCTCCATCGCAAACTAGATGTCTTTCTTATTTCGTTGACACGATGGTTGCTAGTTGTGGGCAAATCTAAAGAGACTACCGCGTAACTATTTTGGACCAGACTATGAGGATTGTGGAAAAAGCTGCAGATAGCGTTGCGGAGAGGAGAAATGCAACTGCCATGGTCTCTTTAAATCGTGCGTTTTTCATTAAGAATTTTCTTTGAGGTTTAGTAGCCATTCATCTCATCTGCTGTATCTCTATACCTTTAATGGCTCACTTATGTCGCAATCTCAGCGTTAATGTCAATAACGATTCACCCACAAGTTACATAGGTTTCTCTTTAGCAATTTCTAATGCTTTGATTTTTAGTTGGAAAATTTCCAAAGAAGATATTGGAGCAGCTACCATGGTGAGTGCGCCTAAGACTTATCCACTCCCC